ATTACGTCCTTCCTCGGTATCGGCGTCTGAGCCGGTACCGTTGCAGCACTCAACTTGTTGAATGCGTGCACTATCCGCCATCCTCCTGTGGCCTTTCGCACAGAGAAGGTCGGAGAGCTGTGAGGGGATGTTGATTCCCTCACATGGCCCGCCGCTAAGCGACCGGAAAAGAACTTGTCGATCTCTAGTACTTGTTCACGAGGCAGTGGCCACTGCTTCATGACACAGTACTTCGAGCCCGGTTTGAGCTCGATCTCGTGTTGAGTGCCTTTGTCCTTAGGCAACTTTCAAGGCACAGATTTAGGGAATACGTCCTTGAATTCGATCTTATTCTTATACAAAGGATTTGCCTGAAGCGACTTCCAGCATTAAAACTTATACTTTTGAATACGAGTCTTGTCATCGATGACACTTTCGTCTATCGATGAGATGCTGAGAACCCGTTCGTTCTCGGCAAATACTGTTGCCGACCGAATACCGATGACGTACTCATTCTATGTGACGAGTATGCAGATCTGTTTGACTTCGCCAATACGTGGGTCACGCAAGAACCGTTTGGGTTCAAGCGTTGGCAATTGGATTATCCTCGAAGTTAACTTCAAAGGCACAATTAGATCAAGCGTATAAGCGTCTAAGCTTGACCCGTCGTTGAACAAGACGCTCGTTGTCTCAGATTCTTCCTGGGAACTTGCTTCCACAGGTTGCTGAGGTCTTGTCCGCTCAGGTTGCTAAGAGCCTGATCTCTTAGCAAGTACGTCTTTAGGAATTTCTTCCTCAAGTACGTGGTGACTTATTCCCTCGACGTCTTCTAACTGTGGATGTGCAACTACAGTCAGGAACCGATCTTCTTCGATCGACTCTCCAGTCGACCTAGGATTTTATCGTTTTCCTTTCTGGACAACTGGTAAATTCTTCTTGTAATTTTGCCTACTGGGCATACATCCTTGTCCCGACCCACTCAAATTATTCGAGTGGTGGACCTTCGGCGCAGCCTGTACTTCTGTACAGCCGCCGGGAGCTTGCTCCACAGTGTAGTGATTAACTACACTGTGATATTGTGCAGTCGTGCTAACGATCGTACCGCAAGTGAGGCCATCGCACTCACTCGCAGAACATCCACACGCTTGTGGACGCTCCAAGATGTTCATCAGATGGCCATCTGATGAACAAGCGTCAGGCATCGTCACGGATCGATGCTGCCAGCTCACCCTTGGCTTGTACATTCTGAGCCAAGGTAATCCCAGGATGACATCAAATTTGTCATCCAGATCTAGTACGATGAAGTCATCATCGTACTGCTCGCCCTCTAACGTGTAGTGGATTCCTACTACACGTTTCTCAACGGTTATCGATGCGCCTGTTGCAAGGCGCACCGTCATCCTTGTGAGGGGAATGTCGCGCTCAACGAACTTGAGCCTACGACCCTCTAGTGACTGGCGACTAACAAAGTTGTTCGACGCCCACAGTCTACTAGGGCACGAAGCGACAAATCATTTTTCGCATCCAACTTTAAGGTGATTAGCGAAACGTCATCACCAGGTTCAGAGACACACAATGATTGTGTATCTAAAGCGACTTTCGTCAAGAGATTTGCAAATTCTCTTGAGGTTGCTGGATCAGTAGGGCGCTCCGCCTCTACTGTCCCCGTCCATTTTTTGATGGTCCGTCTCACTGTTGCGGCCTGGCAACAGCGCTGGACCCACGCCCATTGCCCTTTCTGGCAAATGATCGTCCATTTCGCTCAGTACTGTTTGGTACTGGGCGTGGGGCACTACACTCGTATGCGTAGTGCCCTAACTTCTGACAGCGATTGCACCTCTGCAATCGCTTGTTGTTTGAAAAGCTAGGTCTCTCGCTCTCAACATAGCAGAGGTCCATTGGTTCTGGACCTCCAATCTCTTGTCGTCTTGGTGGACGGTCAGAGTTTGAGCTAGCATGAGCCTGTCTCATGCTAAAGTCTTCCCGTTTCGCGGCTGATATCGCTTCTTCAAGCGTATTCAGCTCAAGGCGGAACAGGTGGCTCCTGACGGGACTTTCTGCGAGCCCTTGCATGAACACCGTAATCAACGTGTGTTCATGGACTGGGTTAGCAGTTATACTACTCGCAAGGAGTCGTATATGTTGTGCGTAAGCGTGCACATCACGCTTACCCTGCTTGAGTTCAGGAGCTCTGAACGAGCCCTGAACACAGTCTGTGGCGGCTTAAACGTTTGTCTGAGCCGGGACTTAAAGTCATCTAGCGACCTAAACACATTTGGGTCGCTACTCTCGAGCCCCAGGGACCAAGTTTTGGCACGCCCTGCCAAGTGGGTCTGAGCAAATGTGAGTTTCATTTGCTCATCTTCGACGCGACGAGCCCTTAAGGCTCTGTCGAGTTCGACAAACCACAGTAACATGGAGTCTTCCGGGACTCCACTGTACTTGGAGATGTCAACTTTCATGACCTCGGGACGGCGCGCATGTGCCGTCCCGCCCACAGCAGCATGGAATTGCTGCTGTCTCAACAGCTCTGTCTGGTGAGCATCGAGTTCTCTCAATTGCTCAGCCTGTTGAGAGCCTAGCTGGTGAAGCAAGGCTACTTTCTCCCTTTCGGTGACAAGTTCATTTTGGATGAACTTGGCAATAGCGGCATGTTGTTGGTCTCTGTCTAGAGACTCCAACATGGTGCTAACGACGAACACGCCTACGGTATAACTCATTCGTTCTACTGCACCCCATTCGATGTCACTCAAATGGGTAAACCCTTCACGCGTGGCGTGAAAGGTCTCTTCTTCATCCAACACGTTCATGTTGGATGTTGTGGTCCTTGGAAGGACTACAAAGTGCTACCAGGTGTAACGGGGCACACCCTTGCGTGAACTTAACGCAAGGGTTTTGGGTGCCCCGACAGACGTACACGTGGCAAGCGAGGAAGCGTAGGTAGGGTAAAAGCAGAACTGTTATATTAATATAATCAAGTCTTTTAACTACTGTCTCTCTGTTTGACTTAACTTAATTATGCTAATATAACTGAGTGTATGGTGACGTCTCGTCACCACTCATTGCGCGCGTCTTGCGGCGATTGGTGGGTTGATATCATCAAGATATCAACCAATGAACAGACTCTTTGGTCGACCCTTCAATATCACCACTTTGGTGATATTGTTCGAAGAATATTCAACTAAATATTCTTTATTGTCACTTTTGTTAAAGTGACAATTCTATGTAACGGGCTGCCCCGTTACACAAGACAAAAGATGGTTTATTAAGAAAACATAGCTATATTAGATAGAGTTCTACTTTTTACCTTAGACAAAGCTTTGTAGTCCTGTCTACTTCCTCGCGCTTTCTCACGCCACGTGAACGTGACGTCGGCAGTACACAGCCTTGTGTCTGGTTAACACAAGGTCTTACCAGGCATATGGTAAGAGCGTGCCCCGTTACACATTTAGAACTTATAGAAGGTTTTAATAAAGGGGCTTTATTTTAATTTATATATGCTATTTATCTAATTTTTACTTCTGAGCAACTTTTGTTCAGCTTGTCGACTTCCTTCGCACGTGCGGTGTACGTAAACTTTGAGAGCACATATCCTTGCAGTGTCATCAGCGTAGGCCCCGTCACAGATCTGGATAGAAAGTGCCCCGTTATTAAGCATTAATTTGTTCGAACATGCAATTTACCCTGTTGGTACTTTTTGTTTTATGCTACAAATTTGGTTTTTTTATTTTCATCTTGTGGCACATTTCTATATAATCTTGTTATATGATGCATCTTGTTTTTGAAGGAATTGACGCATTTCCATTATTTTCCTCTAATTATAGCTCGATGAAATATATGCAGCGTATTAGTACAAGGATTGGTGCCCGTTACATCTGCTCTGTTCCTTCACCCTTGGCCGCTCTGCCAACCCGCACCGAAGGGTGTGTGATAGTTGGGTGAACTGGAAGCCCTACTAGCCGAAAAGCCCCATAGTCTAATGAGGGGTGTGGGCCCCTGTTGAGTTCAATCCGAGCCGCGGTACTCGCAGATCACCCCCGGGAAGTCTGAGGGGTCACACGGCATAAATCTCTGTTCCTTCACCCAATACGTTCCCTCGTTGCTTCTTTGTCGCTTACGCTTCCTATCATCTGGATTCATTGCACGCACTGCTGCGCTGTAATCGTGTGCTTACTGCACAAAGTGTAGGGTGCAGATAGCTGATCTGGGCTTTGTTGTACATGGGAACAGCGCAGTCGACCTGCGATATCGGAAAAACAAAGGTTGAGTTCTGATTTGTGCATAAACGAAATATACTCATCTCTATACTCGAACCACAGACCATCAAGCTGCCGAATCTATCATGCAATCGCCACAAATCACAAACTGAGATTCGTGGCCATGAATCGCACCACTCGCTCGTCCAGTTGTTTGCTACCAGAATGGAAGCTACCGATGCCACAGCAACGGCGACGACATTCTATCAATGCGGGCTGCAAAGGCCCAGTGCTTTGATCGAGAAACACAACTGGCAATCGAAATTAATGCATATGTCTAGTGCTGGTTATAGGTTGCCGAGGCGTTTGGACAGTAGACAGCATCACGCAGGATTTGACTCCCTGGCTACGTGTCTTAATGTCGCACTGAAATACCCTTTAAACACCTCGTTATGTTTCCAGATTTTTACTCCCTATCCAATAGTACGCCTCGTTATGTTCCGAGCTTTTTGCTCCCTATCTAATAGTACGCCTGATGCGACAGACGACGCAGGGCGCCAATAAATTGCACACGTGACAGCTTGATTCACAGACGATCAGAGCTTCCCAAATCATCCGACCAAAGACCTACGCGTCCGTGACAGGAACGGAGACGTGTGGATACCGGTTCTAGTAGCAGAGTGACAGAGCCCACAGATCACAGCAGGAATCCCAAGCTTGCTCCATCGTCGTCCTTCCTATACGGCTCAGCTGGACCCAACTGGCTTTGCCATTCTGCGTTTTGCTCCCTCTCGCGCAAACTTTCTTTCTGAATGCCAGTCCGCCATGCACTTGTACTTCACCGTGCTCGTGGCTAGTGTCACAACTTTGACAAGCACCGAATGTCGTGTGGTGGCGTCTGGTCTTCGTGCCACGAACACTACGCACCTAGCTTTGGTTTCGGCTACCGATAAGCACGACACCGTTCTCACCGAAACAAGTCCTCGAGCACCGGACACAATGGACGGTGAAGAAAGGGTGATTATTACGGAGATCGAGAGCGAGCTTCCTGCGGAGGTCGAGAGCGTGCTTCCTGCGGAGATCGAGAGCGTGGTTGAATACGGCGAAGATTTCTTCGGCATCGCCCATCCGACGCAGTCTGTGACGCCGCTTTCCACAGTTCTCAGCAGTGAAAGAGTCGTGTGGCTTGAGCAAAGCCGAGTGGGCAAGATATATCCGGGGCGCGGAGAGAAGAGAATTCTTACGGTAGACGATTTGTCAGATTTTTTTGAACGGTTTCACTCGTTCGAAGCAGATGTAGAAAGCAGGAAACTTTCTGTTTCCGAAGGCATTAATAAGTACGGAGAAGACGTTGCGGCAAGTTACATAGGGGGACGTGCACTAGTCGATGACAAGAGAGAGAAACATGACAGCTTTATACAGCATATGGTCGAACAATTACTTCAGCACTGGCGGAAGCAGAGAAAACTTCCCGACGATGTCCTCAGGTCGCTAAAGGTTCCTACCGACTCTTTCGAAGCCAATATTTCCTACATGCTAAAGGCGCTGGAGCGCTATATCGAGTTAGCCAACAATTTTTTTGCGTCACATAGACCCGTTGACAGCGCGATACGGACGTATTGGACCCTATTTCAGGTGCTCTTGGAGGACATGGGCGACGCAGTTCTATCCAGGGTGTTGTATCGTACGAACAGAGACCGTCGTTCGGACCGAGACGAGGCGTTGTGGGCAGAGATGATGGATGATTGGAGGAGAAGGAATTTGAAGGCCGACGACTTGGTCACAATGCTGGAACTCGACAACACAGCGAGTCAGTCTTATGACGTCGACGTGGCGATATACGAGATATACACAGGGACAAAGTTTGTAGATCGCCCGAAGCGATTGGAGAAGCCGATAGACAAGAAAAAGACACTCGTATAGTTGCTGCGGCGGGAACGAAAGATGCGACTGAAGAAAAAAGAATGAGAATCTTTGGCGCGTTTGGTGACGGGATGGTAAATGTGGCTAAGGTTGCAATGCTCGCATGCTTGGCGTTTCCTAGCAGCCATAATGTTGGCAATTGTGCAGGCCTGAGGATGACATTTGGACGCGTCGCTACTGCGTGGGAAGAGGAGAAAGGTAAGTCGGTCTATCTGCTTGGACAAAGATGTCAGCCTCGAATCCAATGAGGGACTAACAGTGTGCGGTTTTGATATGTCCACCACAATTATGCAGAGACGAGATGGATCGAAAGACGCCGTCGCGTTGCTGTCGAGTCGAGGTGCCACCACCGCGGCACAGAAGTAGCAGAAGGTGTTAACTTTTCGATACGATGCATTTGTCCACGTCATCTACGACGAGAAGCGTCGTCCGTCATGCAATATAATCGCTCTGTGGCGTCGAACCCATTACGGTCAGGCTTGTGGAATCGGTCTGCCACACGCATGTAATCAGCGCACTCCATCTGGTAGCGATGTCGCAACTGTAGCAATCTTTAGATCTCGCGTTGCATTCCGTCCCTCTTGCTTGATGGGAACTGTAACTCGTTGTGAGTGCCGTATTGCATTCTTACATCGTAGAACGTACGTTGCTATCACTGTCGCCGTTTGCAAATGTCAAGAAGCGGACAAATTGACTCACGGGTGGAACACCCTTGACAAAGCTGCTCTCTATTTGCCGCTCACTGCTTTTCATCGATGGTTGAACACCTCCAACCGTATACACGACCAATGTGACGCCTTTTATTGGGAGAATGCCGAACCGAATCATAGCGTATACGTTCACCCGTTCAGGCGGGAGATACACTTTGGCACAACGACATCGTTCACACAATGTCACGGATGTCATGCGACCGTACAGTATGCTCAAACATCAGACGTATTTGACACCGTGCGCAACAGCTTAGCATAGTCGTGGTCCCAAGCCGTCAAGTGTATCACCGTGAGTTGGTACTACTCAGGTATACAACTTGCAGCATGACCGCCGATCCAGAGATAGAAACTCCGTGGCGCTCTATTCGTTTGTCTTTTCAGTTCGTGCTCGAGGCGCGATTCGAGGCCTGCTCGAGTAAAAAAGGAGAAGTCGAGAGTTCGTGCAAATAAGTGCTGGGTAACTGACCACTTCCACGACTTGTGGCATATTGCACGATCACCTGCTGTATTCATGTTAGCACTCTCGTTGACAGCATTCTGTCCGTAAGCGTCGTGCATGTCGCTACCGTCAACATCACAATCTAGCTGTCCAAAACTAAAAGCCCGAGTGTCCGCCTTGTGTTCACACGTACGCCGACACGAAGTAGCGATCGCCAGGCTTAAAAAGGCACTCATCAAGCCCATCTCGTCATCAGCAATGCGGCCGTCAGCACAGCATATTGGATATGACTCAGTGTAAGTCATCGATCACATCTTCCGATGACACGTTCACGTTGTCCTTGACATCATCATTCGCCTCACTGAAAAAGTCTTGCTTGACGATGTCGCTGACGGGGACCCGTTTCCCCGTGAGTGGGATCTCGACATGAGGCGGGTACATCCAAACAGCCACAACCAGCGGTCGCATCGGCAGAGGACGAAACTTTCCTGTCGCTGCGGCACTACCGAGCGTCGTGTGTCGCTCCGACGACTCAGATCCGCCACGGGCGCTTCGAAAACGCTGCAAGACGCTATGAAGACCCGACTCGTCCGACACGTGCCACTGAACCGTCACGTCTGGGAGCTCGAGCGTCTGCGTGACATCTTTGCTCTTGCTCTTGACGAGCTGCTCCACTTGTCGTGGACCGTCGTCCATCGCCTGAACGAGCGCTTGAAACGATTCACACCTGCCCAGTACCTCCAGCAACCGCTGGCCGCCACGTGCGTCAGTTCGTTCCGTCCATCAGTCGGGAGCATCAAACAGTATAACAGTGCGAAAGTGCGTCCGCCCGTCCAACTCGACTCACCTCTACGCTTCGCGCTCCGGCAGTCCCGTCGTGGCCATTGAAGTGGCTCAAGTCCTGCTCTCGCACGTGCACGTGCAGCGTCAACGCCTGCAGCCGCTTGGTCCGACCACGACGAGCCTTGAGCACGAACAGATTGCGTCCGCGCAACATAGTGCCGCGCTTGCAGTGTTGCGCCAACGGCTGTCGGGGCGTCGGACTCAGCCGACAAGCAGCTCCACGAGCGCAGTCATTGGCCCAAATGCTGTCGCCGCTACCTCGTACGGCGACGACGTCCCGCCCGAAGACCGGCGCGCCGTCAATGGCTCGCGCGAAGAAGCTCAGGCGTGCTGGCTCTTTGCTCTCGTCGGCGTGGGCTACCTCTTTCCCTTCTCCGCGCTCACGCAGCCCGTGGACTACTGGACACTGATCTTTCCCGACTATACATTGAGTTCGCCCTCACGTGCACCTTTATGGGTACAAACCTGCTCGTTCTCGGCGCGATCGTCCTCTTGTTGCGTCGCCCGCAGTACACACGACGCATTGTCGGTGGCTTCATGGGCCAAATACTCGTCTTGACGTTCGTGCCGACGTCGTCTTTCTTCCTCTCGTCCGAAAACGCCAGCACCGTTGCTCTTCTCAGTGCCACAGCCATCGCGTCCATTGCAACGGCGTTCATTGACAGCTCGACGATTGCGCTCGTGTCGCACTATCCCCGACGAGTACAGGAGAGTTTTCAGTTAGGCGTTGGCCTTAGCACGCTCATCGGGAGTTTCTATCGAGACGCGACGAAACTCATCTTTTCAGCTGATCGACTGCTGCTCTCGTCGCTCATTTACTTCTACGCTGGAGCACTCAACATCGCGCTCTGTATCGGGGCCTTCTACATGGTCATGAAGCTCGAGATCTCGCACAAGTACCTGCTGCGCAAGTCGGACACTGGTGTGGAGCTCACGGATCGGTCGCCGCTCGTGAAGAACAAGCGGCAGTCAGGTGGGAGTGACCCGCTTCATTTCCCTGGACTCGCACCGACGAGGTGGACTGTTTTGAAGAAGGTGTGGCACTTGGAAATGCTGATACTGGTGGTTTTTCCTTGCCAGTTTGTCAGTCTGGCCGCCGCTAATCACCGAGATCAAGACGTATGGTTTCCCGTCGCTTCAGAAGAGTGGATGGTGGTCGCTGATCCTGCTCACGTCCTTCTCGATCAGCGACTGCGCTGGACGTTTCATTGTAAATCATCGCTTTGGTCTCACGCCGAGCAACGTGTGGATTCCGATCATGGGGCGTTTTGTCCTCGTCCCGATCATTGTTGGCACCGTCAAGGAGTGGTGGCTCCAGAGCGACTTGTGGTCTCTGCTCAGTGTGTCGGCCCTCGGAGTCGGAAACGGTTATTTAGGCACATTGACGATCATCTTCGTGAGCGAGAGTGTCCACGCTGACGAGCAGCACCTGATCGGTCCCTTTACGAGCTCCTTTCTGAACTCTGGTCTTGTACTGGGATCGATGGTGGGTCTCATCTTGGAAAGAGTCGTGCTACGATAAAAGTAGGCGGTCAACGCGATGCGCTTCGCGCGTCTTGCCATGCCACGTTTGTCCAAACTCGTTCGACGCTTGCCTTCAAGCTAACGCTTCGGGTGCTTGATACAGCCTTTCCTCTTTGCAGACTTGACTCCCTTCTGCAGGACCGGTTGAGGCTCAAAGGTGTACGACTGTCTCTCACCTGCAGTCGCTGCGTCCCAAAAGCGAATGGCTACTGCCTCGAATGTGTACTGGATGCCGTGGAAGCTGTATGTACCGGATGTGAGACATGCGTCGCTAGCAGCCGATGGCGGATCGACAAGGCTGCTCGACGACTGTGGCATTACCGCATCAGCAGAAGCTTTATCGCTCGTCACAGTGCACAGCAGCACCGTTTTCTTCACATCAGCTGCTATCCTCGTGAGCGACTGCATCGAATTCCACGACAGTGCTTCGCCATCGCGTTGCACGTACACGACATATTCCGAGTGAAAGGCCGCAGCCGAGCCACGATACAGCACGTAATGCGCGCCGTAGTTGAGACCAGGCCGCGGAGTCCAGCCACGGCGACGAAAGTGCTGGTACGTGACAAACATCTGTGTGAACGTCGCGCTCGAACTGATTGAAAGACGAAACACACGGCACAAAGCAAAGTCGTTGTCAGAGCGGGACGCGTCAGATATACAGAGCAGTCGTTGCACGCTGACCGCTCGAATCGTTGCCACACGTCTTGCAGCACATGTTCACCAGCTGACAAAACGGCGTCCATTGCCATGATGTAGTAGAACTCAGGCAGCGTCAAGCGACGTCGTTTCGTCGCGTTTTCCAGAGCGCCCATTGATCCGGTCGCGCGCGGCCCTTGCGGTCCATCTCCACTCGTTTCGAACGTCACCGGTGCGACCCCGAACCCGTTCTGCTGCATGTCAGTCCACCACGCCGCGTCCGTGCCATCCAACGTCACCTCCACGTCACGTCCGCCCGGGAGCATCTTCCACGCTACCATGAAAGTTCGCAATCGAATCGTGTCCCATGTGGCAAACCTTATCGTTTCGACGCCTCGAACGTGTTACTTCACGCAAAAGTCGCTCTTCGCGCCGATCGTTACTTTTCTGATTCGCAGTGCCACAATCGGGTGATGGTCGCGACTGCAGGCCACAAGACGTGTCGACCGGTGGCGGTGGACGTCGTGCTGCCCACGTCAACGCTCGCGCGCTCGCCGTCGCTTGACGGTGGCGTCTACCCCGCCATCGAGCGCTTGCACCGCTCGTTTGGTTGCGAACTGATCCAGGAAGCGGGCATTCTTTTGCGTCTCCCGCAGGTGGTGATGGCCACAGCGCAGACGCTGCTCCACCGTTTCTACTACCGCAAATCGCTGCGCCAGTTTGACGCTTTCCGCGTCGCAGTGAGCTGTTTTTTTCTGGCTGCGAAGGTGGAAGAAGCGCCCAAGCGCATCGACGACGTCGTCCGCGTCTTCTACGCGACGTTCCGACGGCGCAAGTGGAAGCGCGCGACTGTGACGCAGTAGCTCATCGACGTGGACAGTGCGACGTTCCGCCAGTGGTGCTCGTGGCTCATCATTGTGGAGCGCCAGGTGCTCATCGACGTGGGCTTTAGCATCGACGAGGTCACGGCACACCCGCACAAGTACGTGCTGTATTACGTGAAAGTGCTGGACGGCAGCCCGGAGCTCGCGCGACAGGCTTGGGGCTTCATCAACGACAGCTTGCGACGCGATCTCTGTGTGCGATACAAAATCCGAGTCACTCCCTGTGCAGCGATCTTCTTAGCTAGTCGGTTCCAGAAAGTGGCGTTGCCGGAGGACCACCCGCCGTGGTACTCGTTGTTTGACGTGGAGAAGACACAGCTGTATGCTGTGAGTGTGGCGATCATGGAGCTGTACAAGCAGGAGAAGATCGAGTGGCTCGAACCGCTAACAGAGACGAATCCGTATGCTGTCGATGAGTGTCCGGTGGTAAAAGATGTGCCAGGTCAAGAGCAAGAGAAGGTTGAGCGCGGAGTTGACAAGGACAAGGAAACGTCAGCTGCGAAACAAGCAAGTGCAGGTGCGCCAGTACTTGCTACGAGTGACGGTTTACCAACGACAAAGGCACCTTCCGCGAGAGCTCGTGGACGACGCAGCTGGTGGGACGATGGGCGGACGAGTGCTCGGAGTTGCCGCAGTCGAAGCTGCCGACGCTCGAGCAGCAACTCCGACGGACGAGAGCCTGAGATAGCCAGACGTTCGCGGAGCTACGAAAGGAGACGCAGTCACAGTCGATCGTCGGACCGCTTGAGTAGTAGGCGAAGGCTTAGACGACTTCGCAGCCCGAGCGATAGGTGCAGTCGTAGTCGAAGCTCTGGACGTTTTAAACGTCGTCGAGTTCGGTCGTAGTCAGGACTCATTGCTGCTCTGGGCTTGGGACAATGACCGACAGACATCACGAGCGACTTCGACGAGTGTACGTAGAAATGCCGGTGCACACCAACGACGCGAGCCACAAAGCCGAGCTACTGTTACAGTGCGGACAGGAATGATATAGCCACCCATGTTTTTTACAATATTGAAGCAAGTAACCCGAGTCTTAAAAACAGAAATACACGAACACGTACCCCTTTAAACGGTGAATATGACTGCTCTTTTTCTAGAATTCCGACTGTTTGATCATATGTTATGATGCTGAATATGAAAAATGTATGCCAATGATGATATAGCCAACAAAAGAAAAACTGATTATCTTCTCGACCTTAGCGTTGCTGGGAGTCCCTAATATCTAGTTAATGTTGTAACCCGATTTTTTTGCACTTCCACGCACCTATTGTGCATCGAATTGGCAAGCTTCTGGAGGTAAGCGGAGCCAATTTCTGTACAGCACTTTAAAATGCACTCGATCAGCTCAGTTCGCTACCCAAAATGACCGCCTGTTCTTATATACGGCCCTGGCAAGCACCCCCCATAAGTTTCCAATCGGGTTCAAGTCCGGCAAATTCGCTGGCCAGTCGATAACTGACAAATTATGGCCCGCAAACCACGCCTTTGTATACCGAGATTGGTGAACCGACGCGTTATCCTGCTGAAAAGTCAGTCCATCACCACCCAGCTCGTTCAAAAAAAGGCACTAGATAGATTTCCAGCGTACTAACGTACTTTTCGCTGATTTGTTTCCGCTCTAACAAAGCCAACATGCTTGTCTTAGCGCATCCAAAGGCACCCTAAATAATACCCGAGCCACCTTCGGATTCGCGAGTCATAAAACCTGTTCTTCTATGAGTAAATCTCAAAATCAGTACCACAAATGTACAAAAGGTCCAAAACCAGTACTATACTCAACTCAAGTTTAAAAAATACATTAAATAGTGTTAACCACATTATACTTAACTGCAAGATGGAATAAGAAACTGCTTGATTGCTAGGGATAGGCAAGGCGGCAGCAAATAAATTAGACAATGGCAGGAAGTTAGGCTGGAAGTGAGGCAACAAGTAAAGTAATTATACATGTTTGGCCCTTTTGCGCTTGGTGTTTACTTACTAAATATCTACCAGCTACCATCGTGCCTCTGAAATCGTCATGTTTTGCAGCGATAGCAGCCTGAAATTCCGCATCCGACCAAGCTTTCACTTGTGGACCAGCAAGGATCGTTCAACCTCAACAACTGGGGTGGCAACGGTGGTCAGGGCGGTGCGCCTGGGCTCGGCGGTTTACTGGACCAGACCCTGTTGAAGGCTTCGGTGCTGGAAAGCGCGGAGTTTTCAAGAACGTATGGGGCCCTGTGGGTCTGACCACGCCCGTAATCTCGCACCTGCTCCGACTGGAGCTAACATACCTGTGAGCACTGGCCCATTGAAACGGGGTTACACGTCGACTGATAGTCGACAATAGGTGTGGTACACACAAGGGATGAGATTCCCTTTATCGTAATATTAGAACACAGCATCAATTGTTGAAGACTGATGTCTGTCAACCATTGATTACGAGATCTTCTGAGAGGTTTATTTAGTAAATTAGCGAGTAGGTTAATACCGTTTTTCTAAGGTGTTCTTTTAGGTTAAAAGAAGAAATAAAATTCAGTTCCCATTTTGATCCGATGGACACGTGCCTCTTTGAGGCGTCTTGTGATCGTTGAGGAGATAGCAACGCCTTGTTAAGGCAGCTACTCCTTGTGCACTCAGTGTGTTTGATTCTTTGAATCGTTAGGTCCCCCTAGAACAGGGACCGTAAGCTCTCTGAGCTTATTGACTCTTTGAGTCGGGTTCTTTGAACCAAACCTTAGCTCTAGGAGCTGTTGACTCTTTGAGTCGGGTTCGTAGAATCAAAGTTGCTCATTGAGCGTTAATTCTTCCTCTGACTTAAGGAGCTGTGTAGCTCCGCTACACCTATCCAATGATCAAACAAGATGTCCATGGTATCTACATGGGAAAAGGTGGCTACAGTACGCACCCACCTTGTGCCGCTACAGGCGGCCAGAGACCGTATCCTCCCCAGTCTTCCCAACAAATACCGCAGCAAGAGTACGCTAGCCCGAGCAACTACGAGAAAGACTAGCCCTCGAGTGATGACGAAGCGAATGGCACCGTCGACGAGCGGCAGAATTTCACTTCAGCTATCTTTGGTGGTATTCCCGTTAAACTGACCCCAATTCCTGAGGCTCGACGCGTCGAGCCGAACGCACGCTACACAATTACTGCTACCCTTCAAACAAGTTGTAGCTCCACGCGTCGTACAACGAGCTGGAGCGACCACCACCACCGGCACCAGATTCATCCAGCCCAAGACTCCCCAGATCGAGTGCGCCTTCGCAACAACATCGCGCGAAGGTCAAAATGGGTCTGCTCAGTGTCTCAATTAGCGCGTCCGACGCTCCACGAGGCCTCTTTGCGGTCCAGTAGCCAATCTCGCCACTAGAGCACCACCACCAGCGGCCAATGGCAATTCTAAAGCCGAAACAAAAGCAACAGCCAGAGATAAATGCAAAACTCTTTGGAATGGACCCACCGCCTTCACCCGCGCGCATTACCGAAGGCATCTCGCCAGCTGCTTCTATCGATCCTTTTACAGTATGATGCCAACCTTAATTAAGGCTGCAAAACAAGACGATTTCAGAGAGGCAGGATGGTAGCTGGTAGATATTTAGTAAGTAAACACCAAGCGCAAAAGGGTCAAACATGTATAATTACTTTACTTGTTGCCTCACTTCCAGCCTAACTTCCTGCCATTGTCTAATTTATTTGCTGCCGCCTCGCCTATCCCTAGCAATCAAGCGGTTTCTTATTCCATCTTGCAGTTAAGTATAATGTGGTTAACACTATTTAATGTATTTTTTAAACTTGAGTTGAGTATAGTACTGGTTATGGGACTTTTGTACATTTGTGGTACTGGTTTTAAAATTTTCTATATTCTATACCTAAATCGTAAAAATAGCCTTGCAGTCCACCTGATTCATCCAGACTAAACGTAACGGAGCACGCTTTTTCCAGATGATCGGTACGACCTTGTGTAAATCGAACACAACGCTGCGTCCTCTCGACTTCACGCACACGTGGCGTGACAAAGTGCGAGGAAGTAGACAGGACTTGAAAGCTTTGTCTGAGGTAATAAGTATCACTGTATCTAATAAAGTAATGTTTATGTAATAAACCTTTTTTGTCTTTGTCTTGGTCTAACTATACTAAACTGCAATCTCCTATGTAAATTTCTAACGACAACCGTTAGCGCGTATGTGACCGAGTTAGAGCGACTCGTGCTGGATATGACGAGAGTCGAATGCCCGCCAAGCGAGGACGATGTTTGTGCTACACTACTACGGCGTCTCCGTTTGCAATTTGAGAATTTAATTCAAGATTTCGCATAAGCGTGACACAGTTCAGCTTCAGCGACCTCGTTATCAAGCTTAATTCTGAAGTAGTGCGACGAAAGGATTCGTCGCGCATCGAAGAAGCCAGTGCGCTACATGTGAGTAGACGCAAAGATAAAACCAAGTTGGGCAAGAAAGGCGGAAATTCGAAGCGCAAGAAATAAACGAAAGCCCAGTGTTGCAATTGCGGGAAGCGCGGGCACTATGGGCGAGGTTGCTGGGCGAGGAAGAGCGAGCATGGCGACGGCAAAAAAAGCGACAATCATTCGAATGCAGCGGTTAATGTCACGATAGGAAGAGCGGTGGACTGCTAAATTATAATCAGCAGCGCAACGGCTCACATGGGCAAGGACAGAGCATGGTTTGTCGAATACACAAAGTCAACGACGGCGAGCAATGCATTAAGCGCGAATAGCAGTGGGCAGCTGAAAGTGTTCGGACCATTACATTCATCTTGAGGGTTCGAAACGGGACCGTATGATTCAACGCGCGGCCTCAAAACGCGCTACACTTGCAGGATCTCAGTCAGAACCTGTTTATCTGAGTGCGGCAATATCACGCGGAATGGCTGTCGAGATCTCTGGCGATGGATGTACTGTAAAGAAGAGTCGAAGGAATAGTTGCGATGGGTTCATGACGCGTCATCTTAATTATGCTCATTGTTGAGGCGACTGCCGAGTGACATGTTGTCTAGAATGAAGCTGTATTGTGGCATCGTCGCTTTGTTCATGTGTCGTACTCGACGGTGAACAAAATGATCAAGTAAAGACGCATTACGGGCGAGTACATGAACAAGGGTGTCGGGTGCGACATGCTTAATGGTTAATTTTTTTTGATAAACGTTATACAGCAGTGAAGTCGAGAATGCAGAGATAGGCAGTCGTCTTGAAGACTCGGTCGTGTGCTCAGATGTTGAGGTACCGATCACACCGGCATCAAAGTAAGGGTATTGCTACACCATGACATTTATTATGATGAAGAGTCGTTATGTGATGATCTACTCACTACGCAAGAAAAGCGATGTCACCAAACGTGGCAGAATCTTAGATCGAGTGTGGTATCAATGTGAAGGTGTTGCGCTGTGATAATGATGGCGAGTATCGAAACGAAGATATACAATGTTTCTAGAAAAACAAGATGATCAAGCAGGAGTTTACGGTGCCGCACAATTTAGAGCAGGCGGCATGGCTGAGCGCATGAACCGCACTCTGATCGAGATGACTCTCTAAATGCTGAGGTATGCTCGCCTGGGTAAATTGTACTGGTACAAGGCAATGACGACAGCTGCGGACATTAGCAGCTTGCTGCTGAGCGCTTCAATATCGAAATTAATTCCGTTCGAGCTTGTCATTAGGCGCAAACCTTGCGTTGAGATATTCCGGGT